AATTGTAAGTCAGACTGATACAGTTTTGACTCCACTGGATGGTAGCCCTCCTTCCATCTCTTACAAAAACTTTAATCCACTTACTCCGATGATTTGGCAAGCTGCTCTGGCATTCATGTTAGAAACAGCTTCCAAACCACATTATCCCAATACAGTTGGGAAAGCTGGGCCACAACTATGACCATTCACCTTTTACCTTTATTGAAAATTTATCACTTAAAAGAAAAAAAAAAAAAGGTAATATGAATACAGATACTGTTCAGTAAAAAAATAAAGGTTTATGTATACAACATATACAGAAAAAGGCACAATACAGGAAAAGCCCAAGTACAAAAAAGCACAGCTACCAAGGTAATTTACTTGGTTAAATGCCTTGTATTTCAGACGACAAGGCTGTACCATAGCTGTAATGCAGATATCGCTGAGGCACTTCACGCTTCTGGGGAAGGTAAATGCTTTCTTTTGAGATGCAATTTTTTTTTCCTGCTTATTCTTCACTGATTGGATATTGTTTGATACAGTTTTGCTTGGATATTTGAGTCATTTAGACAACAGACAAGGCATTTTGCCAGAGCACTTGGCATCTTTCAGAGCATGCATAATTTTTAAAGTAGCAGCATCAGGACTCATGAGGAAGACTGGAAAAGCTCCAGCAACCCACAATGCTGTTTTATTATCAACAGATCCCTTCCAACACTGCAAATTTCTTTCTTGTATGCTGGAGGCTAGTGTATACACTGTTCTGTAACTTGCGCAACATGCAAGTGAGTCTGTTCAGATTGAAGTGTTGGTGGGTAATATATGCAAGCTGATCACAAAGAGTGGCTATGGGGGACTATTAATAGGATGTGCATCTTTCAAATCCAGGATACTGGTCCAAGTGTCAACAATCTGAACTACGAACAACAGAAAATATCAAATGGTGCTTCATTAATACAGGTAGAAACATGACAGGCTCAGATCAGCAAGTGTCCAGGAAACGTTACATCTAATACCTTCCTGGCAATCCCATTAGAGCAGCCAGAGTCTGAGAACATAAGACAAATTTCTTTCCCACCCATACCAGTGCTTTCCGCAAATTAGAGCTGGGTTGTGCTGATGCAGGGAAAGCTGGCTGTCCTATTGCACCTATATGGTAAGTGTTTCATGCGAAGGCAGAACCAGGTCTTCTACACTATCCATTTCAAAATCATTTGCAAACAGTAAGAGATGTAGCTAAATGCCACAAGGTGAGAAGACTCACATGAAGATATATTTGGATGGACTCTTTCAGAAATAAATGGGGAAAAAGATCTCAACAACAACAAAGTGAAAAAAGGAAGCATTTAAAAATTAAATTCTACTCATACAGGGTAACAGAGTTACTACATTCAGCAGAATTAGGGAAACAACAATTACCACCCTGCCATTTGATAAACAAACATCATACCACTGAAATTTTAAGAGTCACCTATGAAGACATGAAGTTTTCCTTAAGAAACTTGAACTTTGAATTCCTCATTTCTGCTCATGCAGAAACATAAGGCTGTACCAACATCTCAACATGGCATCCGAGCATCACAATTCAAATACAACATTGCACCAGGGCATTTTGTCTCCTTGTACTGGTTTAGAAGTGACTTGTCTCACCTAACTTCAGGCATCCAAACATCTTTAGACAGCAAATGAAGAAATATAGATACAAGCAGTCATCCTCTGGAGATGCCTATTCTCTCTATAAATATAGTCCAGATGCTTAACTTTCAGGCAGGTAAAGTCAGGTGATGGTAATCCAGGGTTTATGTCATCTTACTACCTGCGTTTTTTTAATACCGAGCAAATTTAACTGAAAAGTACTTCTAAAGCACTAAAAGAAAACCTAACAGCCCAGTGCTGTTCAAATAACCACTGAATTCTGGACATACGAAGTTAATTCTGAGACTAGATCTCAGCTAATCTAGAAGTACATAGGGGTTTTTATCTGGAGACATTTTGTCTGTGCTGAGTATAAGGAACAGGGCTACTTTTCTTCTACTGCGGAAGTTTGAGAAAGGAAGAGTGATTTCATTCAGAGTTCAGATTGGCAGTAGCCAATAACAGCTTTATTAAACGGGAAATTGCATGGAATACTCTGTTTTGAAGTTATGCCAATTATTCTTTGCCAGAGATGTCCAAATGGTACAAGTAGGGATATCGGCATTAATGCTTTAAGCATGCTAGCAGTTCCACAGAAGGCATAGTCTGCGCCCCAAAGAGCCCGTAGTCCAGTTTTGTAAATCACCACAAACGAGAGGCAGAAAAGGGAACAGATTACCCACAGTGTTCTTTGGCAACTAGATATGCTCTCAGCACCAAAACCATTTGCTCTAAACTGTTACTCAAAGGGGGTTGTGCAAAGTAATCCTCAGTTTCAAAAAACATTCAATAAAAAGCCACATACAATAATCTCATTTAGTAAGTGTAATTGTCAAATTATGTGTTTTACATTAAGTGCAATGAAAAGCGCATGTGAAAGGTTCCACACAGAATTTAAATACTGTGTTGCCAGATGGAAAAGAACTTTTTACTTCAGAGTAACCAAACAACAGCCTTGTTGGAGGAAGACAGAATTTCACCCTAAACTAAAAGGAGGTGCTTCAATCCAAGCAAACCCTAGAGAAGTATAGGTTTAAAAAGAAACATATATATAAAAATCAATAACATTTTCCATTATTGGACAGACTGTTTGTACAAGAAATAGTCTGTTTTGCTAACAGAGAAAAAGTAGCCTAATCTACATTTGGTAGATAGAAACTTGGCTTTCTCTTATTTCTGATTCCTTCCCTCTAATCTTTGTAAGTGTGCTGTCTCCCTCAGTAAGAAAAAAAATCTGTGTAAGGAAACCGTATTTCACTTGATTTGCATTAATGGTCATTTCAACGCAACTGGCAAATACTTCAGCAATTTGCCTGGGTACTATACATCGTGCCTTAAGAAGTGAGATGTAAAGCCACTTCTGCATCACGTCATATCCTTCTACAACTCTGTAGACTATTCAAAGGTTCATCAGACACCATCTCTGCTTGGCAGTATGTTCTATTTTAGAAGCTGAAAAAGCAGGCATGTGTGATGAACAGATGCCTCTTGAGACCAGTTTTTAATCAAAAAAAAAAGCTCATGGCATGCATTAGGATGCAGGGAGACTCCTAAATCCTAAAGGTTTAAGGAACATTTTATGATTAAGGAATCATGTATATACACACTAAACCCTTAAGTATCACATACTACGTTTAGTATCACATACTTTGACCTTCTAATTATCACATACTAACAGCAATATGAAGCTCTGAGAATCTGTACTGCACATGCTCCATTTACACGTGTCCACCCTGTAACACAATTATATACTATGTCAGATACCCAGACAACAGACCTAGCCAAAACCTTCCCTGAATTTACTTTCTAACACATTTTTGGTCAGCTTTAACATTGAATTGCTCTAATATAATACACAACCATGCTTTGGTACCTCGTGTGCTCTGAAACTGGAAGAAAACCCTACAGCATGCTTAGACTGAGGTATTTCACCATATGAGTGCATGATACCAGTTCTGTGAAGCTGGGCTACCACAAAATTTCTGGGTGACTGTTTTATTGTTGGTGTTGATATTTGAAACCTGAGGTACTCTTCAGCTCAACTTGGAGTGCAGCTTTCAGAGGGTAAAAAAAATTAAGATAAATGGTGCACAGTTGCCTTCTCCCTCTCCTCACAGTTACCTGTCAACAATACTCTAAAGGAATAAAAATCTCATACTCATATTAAAAAAAAAACACATGAAAAATAGAAATACATATAATGTCTAACAAAGAAATTCAGTAATCAATTATGATTACACTGCGTGATAATTACTAGTGACGATCATTTTGACAATATTTGCATTTATTCATTACCTGCTTTACTTGTAAAAACCTGAAGATTCAAAGATTTAGATGCAACATCTTGGTCTTGACAGTAATCATATCCAAAATTGACAAGTCTAGGAGCAAATAAAGATCACTAAATAAATCACTTCTTCATCCACAGAGATTCATCATAACACAAAGACCATGAGAACAGTCACTATGTAATCAAAACATACTAATTAAATTATAATCAAGTGTTCTCCAGTGCAAGTTAAATTAGCCTTTAACCAATCCACTCAATGCTGTTATAAACTACAATCCCAAGACTGCATGCTGTTCTTAGAAACCAACAATTTTGATTACACCTGCAAACTTCATATCCACTTACTGCAGCATTGTCCAACCATTCCTACATTTTGAAGTGAAAGCAAGTTCCGAGGAAGTACTGGAAATCCAAACATTCATCATATCCTCAAACTCAAAGGCTTTGCAGCCTAATTCTACCATTCTGATGTCTGTAAAGCTATATTTTAATCTGCAATTAGGCACACTTAGTTTCAGTGGAAATACTTGAAAAGGAAGGCACAAAAATCATACTCACATGAAACTTATTATACCATGACATTCTTATTCAGTCTCATGCTGCCTGTGCTTTAATGGTTTTACATATCTTTAAAATCTACAAGTCCTATTTTTGCCATGCAGAACATGCAACAGAAGCTTACTGTCAGTCTGCTTTGGCCTTTTTTTTTTTTGTTTGGTTGGGTTTTTTTCCAGAAAGGATTTTGATCCTGTAGGGATTTTCCCCTAGGTCTTCTGCAATAAGCTTGAAAAAAAAAAAAATAATAGTATAAAGCTGTTACAAGAGTTGTATTTTTTCAGTACTAACTGCAAGAGGATACGCTGCCCTTTTAGGGCAACATGCACGTGCAGTAGCACCACGCTGAGCCTTCTGCACAGCACTGAGACATTCTGAGCGCCACAGTTGGGGCAGGGTGGAACTCAACTACCTTCAGTTACTGACATTTGATCTAGTAGCTTTGGCCTCCTTTTTTATTCACAAAGAGAAACAGGCCCTTTTGGAATGATGAGGATGCAATGAATTATGACTGAGAGTCAGACCACCCTGACTAGTTTTTTTCTCAACTAAAAGGGAGCCTTAAGGAGACTGCATGGTAGGCACAGACAGAATCAGGCAAATCTTAGCCTTTGAAATTGCAGGCTGCCTGGAAATAGCATGCTGGAGGAGAAAAGAGTACAGGCAGTGTCTCATAGGCTATAAAAAGGAGCTACTGGCCTGGTTATCTGCCCAGTAAAACATGTAGCAGCAATTAAAAATGGGGTGCTTCCCTTGACAAGAATTTTGACATCACCACTACAACATGCCCAAGACTAAAATAAATTAATTTAAATAGGTACAGAATACTCAGAGAAAGGATGGTTTAATTTATAGCTAGCTCTTCAGACAAATAATTTTTAAAATGGCACCAAAAAGCAGTCAAGGATTAAATTACATTTTACAGTTGACCCTGATGAAAATGAGAGGAACTGGAGGTTTGGACAGAGTGTTCATTTTATTCTTATGTTCCAATACCATGTAGGCAACTGCAAACAAAAGATACTGTGGTTCAGACAAATTTTACTTAGGTTTGTAAAACATTATCCCGTATATGTTAAAAGGAAAGCAAACCAAAACATTAAAAAAAACTTACTTTAATTGTGTGTCATTTACAGAAATATCCAGATGTGATTCCAGCTGTTAACCAAAACCAAAACAAAACCTGTTATTTAGTGAGGTCAGTATACTACAATTAATATTTCAGACCAGTGAAATGTGCTGAACCCACATTTCACCAGATTCAACATTTTAACAAAGTTTATTTATCCTCCTCTAATCCTTGCAGTCACCCCAAAAAACATAAAACAGATTCTTTAAAAAAAAAAAAAAAAAGAAAATAAATTGAGAGATATTTAACCTCCTGCATTAGAGTAAATTTCAGTCACTGGGACAAAAGTCCAGTAACAATTACATGTTCAACATTTATAATTTTTCTGTTCTGTTATCTGTATTTTGGCCACAACACATTTCCTGTCTCACTTAAAACTGACACAAAATTAGTATATGGTTTCTTTGTCCAGTGCATTTGATAACCCTGCTTTTCAATACTTGAGTATAAGATCAGCATAACGTCATGAATGTCACTTACTTCTAGGTCAGTATCTGTGCAATTCCACTGAGGTTATCTTACGGTGGTATATCTGACTGAATTTATTCTTGAAAAGAGTACAGTACGGAAAAAAAAACAAAACAAAACAAAACCCAGTTTTCCTCTGCAAAAATTCCAATAATAAAAGACACTGAAACAGATCTCTGTATCAGTGCTCGGAACACATAATTACATCCCACTCAAAACCATTGTATAATAAAATACTCATGACTTACTATTGAGTTAAAATTTTCATCAGGATAAAACTGGACACATTTTAACGTACTCTTTGATTCCTGGAATTAAGAGGATGTGTTTTGTTACTGATAAAATAGAAAGCATATCATAAAGACGGAGAAGTCACTGGATACTCCACACTGCTCTCCACACACAACCTGCTTTGCTAACAGATATGCAGAAGTTAGGGGACAAAAGACAACTTTAAAAACCACATATAACCCCCCACAATAGCACTATGACATGCTTCCTTCCTGTCCCAGATCATTATCTGCCAATCATCTATAATTGCGTGGGCCCTCACTTGAAGCACAGCATTACATGTCTCTCACACACACACGTTCTAGAAAGTTAAAAAATGTTTTCTATAACTACCTGTATGGCAAAAGGAACTGTATCTTATTTTGGTCAGTTCAAAAAGGGTATCTCAGAAACAAAAACAGGAATAAGTTTCTCCATCACAGTTCACTTCCTGTTATTTCCTAACACTCTTTTTTTTTTGGTGGCTAAGAAGAGTTAAGAAAAATAAATTTTCATTTATGTAGAATACATCAAATGTAAATAATTCCTCAGACAAAACAAAAAAAACCCCAAACCCAAAGAGTTTCAGCATTTCTAGCCAAGAACCTGCCCTCATTTGGTCACTCAGTAATTCTGTGTACAACATACCTTCTAGATGTGAACCCTCTAAAAGAGAGGCGTTATACTCAGAACAGTTTTTGGTAGATTTAGATCCTTTTGAATAAAAGACCTTTTTAAAGCCAAAAAACCTAAGAAACCCACCTTTTTTTATAGGAAGCACTAAGATCACCAGTCTTCTTGCAATTTACTATGCACAAATAGCAGTTAATGCAAGACTGGCTTTTGCTTTAGGTTATTTGAGGCAGGAACAAGACAGGCTACTATAATGAAAAACAAACTCATGCTATTATTACACCTTCTCTCCCCCCGCCAAAACTTTACTGTCATGAGACAGGCAGGAACAAAACTGCAAGAATGACTTCCATCTCACCTTTGGAACAATGTAGAAGAGCCTTTGTTCCATCATATCCCATTGTGCCCAAATGAGATCATCCACCACTCTGGCTCTTGGAAGCTGACCCGAGTTCTGAATCACCTAAAGGGAAAGAAAGAACATTAGAAGTCATCAAGTAAGTTTATAAATCAATTGCACACAGTCTGTGCTTTAAAGAGAAAAGAGGTGTAAATGCTAAGGTGCTTGGAGGGAATATGCTACTTGTTATCTGCACAAAGTCCATCTTTGTTGTGTGCAAGGTACTCAGTTTAAAGAGATCAGAAGCACAGTTTTCAGGGTACACCTACTACCAAATATTTTCTTTGAGAATACTTTGCTTGCAAGAAATTCACCACTTAAGCTGCTCAGAGCAAACAAAGAAAAACAGACAGCACTCTTCATCATAGAGAAGGGGAGAGGAGTGAAACACCACACTCAGTTCAGAACCATTAACTGCTGAAGGAAGGTGTGTTAGCTCCAAAAGGGATTTCTGACCAAAGTCTCAGCCACTGAGAATACTGGCAGTAGGGAAAGGGCTAGAATTGTGGAAAACTGTCGGGATTGTATAAATGCACTACTGAAAGATGTAGGCAGATTTCATGTCAACCAAAACAAATCTTTTTGTTAAAAGGACATCAGATTGATCTGTTCTTTCTGATTACACCCTTAGTCTTTACTCCACTACTGTAGTCTAGCATATAAAACCCATCTGCTTTAAAAGCAATGATAAACTTTGAGAAAACCATGAAAGACCTCAAAGTGACTGAAAATCAGGACCTTAACTTTTTCATTTCAATCCTACATTTGTCTCCATAAAGCAAAACATTAGCTTTCGTTGACACAATTCTTCACTATATTAGATGCATGTTTATTAAAAAAAACTTTTAAGCAAAACATCCACAATTTGTTGAAGACAAATTCATGTTACAAACAGGAAAAAAAAGATGAGGGGAAAAAAGAGACTGGAACATTCACAGTACTTGGAATGTATCTAAGTTTTATGTCGTCTTTTTGTTTGCTTGTTATTTAAATGAATCCTTTACTAGGACACATGGACTCCTGAAAGGCAAAGTTAGGGAGATGATTCTGCAAATATTTTAAATGGTTTAAGAATGTATATACACTTATGTGTACTCCCAACTTCTAATATATAGATGCATTCAGTGACAAACAAAAAAGAATAAAATAAGTAACTTCCCTCATAGCTTACAGGTTTTTCAATCAGCTTTGTGGTTAGCTGCGTAAGTTGCCATACCATCAATACTTTAATATACTTTGTGTTGCCCAAGTATAAATCTACAAAAAGTTAGCTAAAATTACAGATGTTTAGATTTTCAATTAAAGCAAAAAACCTCAAACCCCAAGGTTTTTCAAGTCTTACCACTTTGTGTTCCTCTTCCACACCAACATGAATGTCAAATTGTTCAATATCTTTAAAATATATTTAAAAAAAAAAAATCATTACAAACATACTTTTTTGTATGTTTTTATACAGCTTATTAAACCATCCCACCTCTTAGAATGCTGTAAGAGCACATTAGGGCCAGGAAAGTTAAACTCCATGTAAGAGGAAATCTGTGATACATGAACACAGGTGCCTACGCAGAGACCTGTACTCCCTTCCTTTCCTGAGCCGCGGGTGACCTCAGCCATACCACCTCGTGGAAACAGTTCTCTGCTCACATCAGCGCAGCACCGTCAGGAAAAGTGCTAACCGAAACTTGCCAAACCAAACCAAGGATCACACTTACAAAGAAAGAGCACGCAGAGCTGCACGCATGCCTGTGCCTGAGACTACACCCCAACCCTGTTCCACTTCCTAGCATGAATACCACCTCACAGCCCTTTCCCATGCAAAATTCTTAAAAGTTATTGGTGGTTTGCCTGTGCGAAGGGTGCAAGATTCAACCAGCAGATGTTAGAAATGCTTCTGATATAGTTCACAGCACTATGTGAATGTATTAGGAGGTGAACTCTACACACCCAAGTCCAGCTACCAAAAGGTTAGTCTCTAGCTTAGCAGAGAAAATGGGCCTCTCCAAAAGGATGGGAAAAGCAATCGCACTTGGCAATAGGACTGAAAGGCAAGAGGGATAAACAGCCTTTTCCAAGGGTCCACCTCTATCCATTCCCTCCCATTACATTAGGCAAAGTTAGCTGAATCCAGGGAACTATTGCCCCATTCTTATCCCACTTGTCATGCATTAAATCACAATCCATCTCTCATAGTCAATTGATCTGCTCTGAATTTATACAGACAATTATAAAAGTCTATTTTAGCTTTTTTAGAAATAAAGATAATGGATGAATGCATGAACTAAGCAAATAATTGCAAAGCTGGCCATTCTGCTAACACTGAAAAAAAATCCCATTAAATTATACGGTTTTTGAAAGACATTCAGAATACCTACAATAGCTCACACCTTTTATCCTGTTTTTTTTCCAATAAAAGTCTACCAGAAAATATAATCTATAACAACAATCTTAAAGCAAAAGAGTGGCAATGTACTTTCAAAATATTAACTCACATTTATCTTCTGAAACTAGCAAGAGGCGACTTTCTGTAGAAGCATTTCTGCCTTCAACTGGATAAAGAAACTACACAGAAAGTTTCACAAAAGTAAGTAAATAACAAAAGTAGTTTAGAACACTTATCTAAAATGTTTTGTAGCTGAATATTTATATATCTTTTAATTAAGACAGGTAGACTAATGATATTTAATTAATAAAAATAGCTATTATTACAGACTAATAGCCACCAATCACTATAATTGCAAACTTCACAGGATTGAAGAACAATAAAAAAAACAGCCTTCATGCCAGAGAAATATTCTACATCAAAGATTTTATGAAGTTTCTCATTTTTTTCATTCTGTGAAGAAACACAGGCACACTACCTCTGTAACATTTGCAAGATAACATGAGATATTTCTGCACTCAACCACTTTTTCTCTCTAGCATAGTGGATTTAAAAGGTTTATATTTAGATTAGTTGAATAATTTACCTGTACTCGAACACAGCTATCCACAGCCTTTAGGACTCTCACGTTATTAATGGGATGAATTTCAATTAGCAAGGTTAAATACTTGGATACTGCAAAAAGAACATGTTTTAGATAACATTCTTTTTTTATACACAATTTTGTTTTCTAAACAGAAATTACATGGGGTGGGAGAGGGGGGAAGCAAAAGGGTACAATAGTTTTAACCGTATTAAAACAATCCACTTGTAGTACCTGACTGTAACAGCCGACTTACTCTTTCTTCCTCTGTATATTGACGGAAGCTGACCGCTAAGGAAAAAAGAAAACCAAACACAACCACAGTGAGTATACATATTTGATATTAATCTTATTAAACATTCTTGGAGAGCAAACATCACATTTTTTTTGTTTTACCAAAAACATGTATGTTAAAGGAACAACAGGTGCTCTTCTAGATGTAGGAGGCATGCATAAATGCAGGAGGGGGAAGTGAACAAACGGTCAGTGTGTCTCAGGTTTTTGTTTTAATAAAAGAGAAATATCATTACAGTGTCTTTATTTTGTTACCTATGTTATTTGGTGATGGATCCATTGAAATGCGTAGACTGCTGTGGGCAACATATGGGTCAAAATAGATTTAACTAATTCTAGACCCAAATGTATCTTCTTACTAAACTAAATTATCTTTACCATGACACAAAAAAATTTAATGATAAAACACTTATTTACCCAGTAACGTCCTTTCATTGTTGATCGAACAACTGATTATGTATAGATCCTTCTCAAACATGTAGAGGTGCTACAAAGAAACACATTAATATTAATAAATACATTTTTTTAACTGCATAAAGAAAACCATCTAATTACTCCTTCTTAGGAAAATACTGCTGACCAGTACACCATTTTAATTTTTAAAGCAAATGATTTCATGGCCAGAAGTACAATATCTCAAGCCTCAGTTGTATCACTTTGCCTTTTTCTCATTTGTTTATTTCTTACTGGTTCTTTTGAGCTCTATGTTGCCACTAGAGCAGCACAGCAGAACTTTTTGTAAATACAAAATTTCACCCGTTTCATGCTGTTATGGGGACACTGTATAACATTACTGTTATACAGACCTGTAAAGGCCCGTTATCATGATTCCAGCCACTGAATTACACTACATTCAGTTTCAGAATAATTTCTTACAAACAGTAGCACCAAACAGACTGAGGATGCACACAGCAAAGAAAAAGCAAAACATTTTTAAGACTTAGCTGGACAGGGTGCTGGGCCACCTTGTCTAGACTATGCTGTTGCCTAAAAAAGTTGGACCAGATGATCCTTGAGGTCCCTTCCAACTTGGTGTTCTATGATTCTATGATTTACTGCTTAGTGCACATGTTCAGTGTGGTGTGAAGAGGCGTGGAAAGGGCTTGAATTGGTTGTTTAGAAATAAAGATTGCAGACATGATGCTTTACTACTCCCAAGTCATTCAGATGTTCTGTAATGTTCTGTATCTTAATACTACTGAGCATCATTTGAACACCTTCTCTGATCTCCTGTTTTAAACAAGTGTACACTCCTTAAGGACATAATATACTGTGTTGCAAGGCATCAAAATGTGAAACACTACAGCACTGTCTTTACCAGGGAGAAGATTGGTATTGCTCTCACCTCGTTTTGTTTAGTTTGAAGATCGTACAATCCAATGTGAGTATTTCTCTGATTTCCCTATGGATGAAAACAAATTAGCACCAGCAACGTAAATATATACAAAGTTAAACACTGGTTTTATTTTTTTCCTACCTCCCTCTTCTCTCCCCCCACGTCCCTTGACACACATCCTCATACGCTTCCCTGTCCTATAAACAGACAGTTAATTATCTAATTCCAAGAAAGCGAGGCAAGAAAGAGAACAAAGTTGGGTTTTTTTCCCTTTTAGAACTAACACATGGAATAAAGCTGAAATATGGCCAATCCACAGCCCACCAGCCATTGCATAAGCCAAGTGCCTCTCACTTTGTTTCTAAACTGGTTTTAGTTATAGGCAGTAGGGCCAGGAAGAGAGATGCTTGTACAAGGATGAAAGGGGATTCTATGGCCCCTGGAATATTCAAGGCTGGTATCCCAGACCTCACCAGCTCAGTGGGTCATTGCTCCAAAAGGGAGCACAGAAACATCAAACATCACCAAACACAGCTTCCAGTGATCTGGCTGCAGGCTGGAAAAAAGATTTCAGCTCTGCCTTAGGAAATGATTGTTTGAAGGCTAAATATATTTCACAAGCTCAGATGACACCATTAGCCTGCTGCCTTTGAAAGGAAACATAATATACATCCTTTCTAGCTTACTGATAACAACATACAATGATTTTGTTTATGGCACTTCTAAGACTATACAAATCAAACCTTTTCTTCTTGGTAATTTTTACCATGCTTTAAATTTTCAAAATATTTAAAAAAAAAAAAATTAAAATTAATTCTGCTTGGCAGCATATACTGTGTATCAAATCACGCTGAAGTCTATTAATGTACTCTAGATATAGGCACTAAATTGCTAAACTGTTGAAATTAAATCCAGCCACATAGGCTTGTACTCAAACAGTGAGTATCACTGTTTTTAACTACAGCTTGGGGGGAAAGGGGAGAAGTCTGCAGTTATTTACAAAGTTATGGCATCTTGCTATGTGAAGTTAAAACAAAAGCCTGAGTATTCTCTTCCTAAGGGGTCTATCTCTGAGTGTCTCTTTACTGTTGTGGCAATAACAAAATTATTTGATTTTTGATTTAAACAAGGAAAACAAAATGTCTTTATATTAAGACACAGGCTTCAGGCCTCCTAATTTAAGGTTAAGCAAGTGCTTTCACAAATAACTGTTCTTTCCAAGTGTATCTGAAACGCTAACATCCTCTGTACTTCACTACTGAAAAATATACTTTACAAGACTGGTAACAGGACTGCGTTAGTGCCCATATCTGTGCATAAGCTAAGATGTTTATTTTCATGCTTACTCTAAAGATTCTTGTATTGCCTTGCTAAACAGAAGCACTGACAGTAAGACTTCACTTCTGTTAAAAATATCTTCCTTTACACCAACTATCAATGTCATGGAAGACAGACTGTCAAAACTACAGTACAATGCAGTACTCTAAAATAAGCTTGAAAATAAAGCTCATTCTCCACCTTCCCCTGATTTCACTCAGAATACACTTGTCTTCTACTTAGCAGACAAAGGTTGTTTTCTGTTTGTATCTATTAGGAAACAAGCCAGGGCAGCTCAGTTTAGTTTACATCCTTGTTTGTGCGCTATTCTCACTGACAATACCACAGCTAAAGTTTGCTGCTATAAAACCAACAGGAAAGGCTCACAGACATATAGCTGTGTCTTGTGAAAGTGGTAGCTCATAAATAGTTTATCAGGAAGAGGGAAGACAGAGAGAATGAGAGATTAAATTGCCTTAACAACTCATCAAGATCTGTAGTTTGTTAGAAGCAGTAATTACATTGCGATTTCTCCAACGTAAGTTTAAGGGAACAGAAGGACGAGCTGCAGACACTAAAAGCAGTCTGTTTTCCCCAGGTAAGCTTTCCAGTGTGATGATGTATATTAGCAGAACAGAATAACAAAGTGCGAAGAATACTTATGTTTTAGAACAAGTTTGTAAAAATTTAAAAGTGTCAAACTGGAGCCTAAAACTACTTGGCATTCGCTAAGATGCATACACCAAGACTTTTTTTTCTTCTATGTAAATATCAATGGATATGCCTCTTAAAATGTTTGCAGTAAACTCCAAAACCACAGAATGTTGTCAATGGACTTTCGGAAAAGGAAACACTTGGATTAAGTCCTTATTAAGTCAGTAGCAAAGTGTAAAACCACAGACACAGTCCTCTGAACACTTGCTGGTTTTTAGCATTCTACTCTTGAGAGAGGAAATAAAAAATTCAGTCCAGCTTTAAGGTAACACAGTCCCAAGGTGTGACTGCAGCTGGCACAGACATATCACATGTAACAAAAGCACGGACGTCAGGAAAGGCACAGCATTAGCAGCTCAGGACCCAGTCTGTTCAGGACACTGGGTGAGCACTATGCAGCCACAGCCTGGGCCACCACATGTGCTCCTACCAACATACAAGCCACCTAGACTAACACAAGCTTTGGGGCAGACATATCCACGTGTTCCTATCACGCACGTAAACAAGCATGGAGGTATTGACTCCCATCAACATCAGTGCATCTAAGCGGGCACCAACACTTTGAGCTGATGAGCAGAATTTTTATTGAACCAAGAAAGAGATGTGTACCATAGACTATGAACAACTCTCTGGGAGAAGCATCACATATTTAATGCACTACCACCTTAAGATACATTTGTTCTTTGTGAGAAAACTCCAGGAAGTATCTTCCAGTTTGCCCATTAGCAAGTGTAAAAAACACTTACAGTAGAAGGAAACAAAATATGTCAGCATCCTTCCCAACAGAAGAATAAATACATACTGGTTCTTCAGCAGGCTGGCTCACTCAGAAAAAGATATGACTACTTTCTCATGGCAAGAGAAGAAAAAAATAAAAAGCAGCAACATGTGTTGTGGAAATCAACTTTCTGATGCAGCTGGTGAGTGAACCAACTAGGGAAGGTGCCCCGCTGAGAACAGAGAAGGCCTTGTGGGTGATGTGATGGTTGGAGGATGCGGGGGCACAGCGATCATGAAATGACAGAATTCTCGATTCTTGGAGAAGTAAGAAGAGGGGTCAGCAGAACTGCTACCTTGGACTTCCGGAGGGCAGACTTTGGCCTATTCAGGAGCCTGGCTGACACAGTGCCTTGGGAGGCAGTCATGAAGGGCAAAGGAGCCCAAGAAGGCTGAACACTCTTCAAGAAGGAAACCCCGGAAGTGCAGGAGCAGGCCATTCCCATGTGCTGAAAGATGCACTGGCGGGGAAGAAAACCAGCCTGGCTGAACAGAGAGGTTTGGCTGGATATCAGAAAAAGAAGAGGAAAGTCTATGACCTTTGGAAGAAGGGGCAGGCATTTCAGGAGGACTACAAGGATTTGTGAGGTCTTGCAGAGAAAAAATTAGAAGGGCTAAAGCCCAAGAACTTAAACTGGCCAATTCTGTAACATATAATAAAAAAAATGTTTCTATAAATACATTAACAACAAAAGGACAGCCAAGGAGAATCTCCATCCTTTAACGGATGCAGAGGGAACTACAGCAACAAAAGATGAGAATACAGCTGAGGTACTTAATGCCTTCTTTGCCTAGTAAGGTCAGCTGTTCTCCAGGTACCCAGCCCCCTGAACCAGAAGGAAGGAATGGGGAGCAGAACAGAGCTCCCATGATCCAGGAGGAAGTGGCTAGTGGCCTGATCAACCAACCAGACACACACAAGTCTATGGGGCCCGACGGGGTCAACCCAAGGGTACTGAGGGAACCGGTGGAGGTGCTCACCAAGCCCTTTTCCATCATCTATCAGCAGTCCTGGCTGACTGGGGAAGTTCCACCTGACTGGAGGTTGGCAAATGTGACACCCATCTACAAGAAGGGCTGGAGGAAGGATCCAGGGAACTGCAGGCCTGTCAGTCTGACTTTGGTGCCAGCGAAGGTCATGGAGCAGATCATCTGGAGTGCCATCACACAGCACATCGAGGACAAACAGAAGATCAGGCCTAGCCAACACAGGTTTATGAAAGGCAGGCCCTGCTTGACTAACCCGACCTCCTTCCATGACAAGGTAACCCACTCAGTGGACAAGGGAAAGGCTGTGGATGTGGTTTACCTGGACTTTAGTAAAGCCTTTGACACCATTTCGCACAGCATTCTCCTGGAGAAACTGGCTGCCCATGGCCTGGACAGGTGTACTCTTTGCTGGGTAAAAAACTGGCTGGACAGCCGGGCCCGAAGGGCGGTGGTGAATGGAGCTAAATCCAGTTGGTGGTCGGTTACAAGTGGTGTTCCCCAGGGCTCAGTGTTGGGGCCAGTTCTGTTTAACACCTTTATCAACGACCTGGATGAGGAGATTGAGTGTACCCTCAGCAAGTTTGCACATTACATTAAGTTGGGTGGAAGTATTGATCTGCTTGAGGGTAGGAAGGCTCTACAGAGGGATTTGGACAGGCTGGATTGATGGGCCGAGGCCATTTGTATGAGGTTCAATAAGGCTCAGTGCCAGGTCCTGCACTCACTTGGGTCACAACCAACCCATGCAACGCTACAGGCTTGGGGAAGAGTGGCTGGAAAGCTGCCCAGCAGAAAAGGACCTGGGGGTGTTGGTTGACAGCCAACTGAATATGAGCTGGCAGTGTGCCCAGGTGGCCAAGAAGGCCAACAAGCATCCTGGCTTGTATCAGGAATAGTGTGGCCAGCACAAGAGGAAATGGCCTCAAGGTGCTCCAGGGGAGGTTTAGACTAGATATTAGGAAAAATTTCTTCACTGAAAGGGTTGTCAAGCACTGGAACAGGCTGCCCAGGGAAGTGGTCGAGTCCCCATCCCTGGATGGATCCAAAGAGGGGTAGATGAGGTACGTAGAGACATGGTTTAGCAGTGGACAGGTATGATTGGACTCAATGATCTCAAAGGTCTTTTCCAACGAAATGATTCTATGATTCTATTAACATCTCCTTCAGGATGGCATTTGAGAGGTGAAAACTGCAGCACAGCTGTGCAGTTTGCTAGTGCCAGTTCTCAGGCTTTGTCATCCAGCCACTCCTACCACACATATTGCAGAGCTCATTTTATTCCCCAAATTAGGAAAGAGAAACTACAGCAAACATTTTCAGTGACTTCCTATGCAGCCTTTACCTCTAGGTTCAGGGAACAAAGCCTAGGTGTTTAAATCCTCCCGAGAGTCACTGGCCTATTCAGTTAATGGAGTCCAGTGGGTATTTGTCCACCTCCTCCACCCCACACACCTCCTCCCGAAGTACAGGCTCCCAAAGTGGCCAGTTCTCTAAACTCCACCAACTGTTCTGACCAGATCCCTACTGCAAAGGGAGCTTAGACACCCAGCATGCAGGCAGACACCTGCATTTAGATGTGTGAACCTCGAGCTACAACTCATCCCTTGTGCCAGTTGCAAAAGCCTGAACAGCATACAAGGGAATTGGAGTTCACTGTCAGAAACCCAAAACAAGCTTAGTGCGAGATTCCACAGGTGCTAGAAAGCAGCACTATCACACATAGCAGTAGCAGATCTCCTGTTGGGAACTAGATGGGTTACTCTTGTTGAGTCTTTCTACAGTTTTGAGCAATCAAAAAAACCCTTGTCACACTTTTTAGTGTTGTTTTTATGGTTACTGTTGTCTTGTACAGACTCCCCTCCCTGTGCTTGCACTAAAGGAAACATCCACCCACAGTTAAAGTGTATTATACCTTGATGAAGGCCTCACCTCTTCCCTTAACCCTAGGGAAGCTGGAGAGTTTTAGCATTGCTGAGCAGGAGGGGAACAAAACGCAGCCCTATTCCACTGGAGTCTGCTATCTCCAATCTGTACTCTTCAAGAACCAAGATCCTCCAGAATCCAGCTGGGTCTACAGATTTCTCCGAGATGAACAGAAAAGAACCACAGCTTGTCTCATCAAGGGGAAACCTTCTTAAAACATTTAAAAATCTCTTGGAACAGAGGTGTTTCAACCTAAAAGCTATAAATGTGCCACAGAGAGCAGAATCCTATGTTAAAAAGGATAGCTCTAGATACTTCAAGACATCAAATAAATAACAGTTACTTCAGACTACTCGCAATAAAGTGCTATAGATGAATCTTAAAGTAACAAAGGAGAAAGGCAGAAGCAGAGTTGGTGTTAGACAAATGGCATCTTAACATATATATTGGTAGGAGGAAACATTAAACTAAAGCAGTGCACATTAATTTAATAGTCAGACTTCCCTGAGAAATTCTGAAAGAATGTGCTGCTTATGAAAGTTTTATCTGTTAAAGAAATGTCATTTCATTCAGGGTGAGATTCTGGCCCCCCCAAAAAATCAACTGCAAAAACCCTATGTACTTAATCAGGTCAGTACTTTACTCTCATTTTCATCATTCTTAACCTTTCTCTGAAGTGGAGACAGGTAT